TGTCGTCTGTTTGTTGTGTGCTGCGTGCGTGTCGTCTGCGTGCGTGTCTCGTGCTTGTGACTGCATCTTGTCGTGCGTGTGTCTCTCGTCATTTTATACTATATGTATGTATGAATTGTATGTATTGCACTCTCTGTGCTATACAGTTATCTAATTTCTTAGTATCATATGTACTCTCTTACTCTCTCTCTAGTTACTCTTTATACTCTTACTCTTCATCTCTCATTCTCTCTCCTATCTCTCATCTTTACTCTCTTTATCTCTTCTCTCCTCTCCTCATATCTCTCTCCTCGACTCTCTCTGTCATTCCTTTACCCTATCTTCTGCCCGCGTGTCGCCCGCCCCCCCCCCCAACATTATGTGGGCTGTGAGCTTATAGTGACGGTGTTAGTGTAGGTGATGAGTGTATATATAAATATATATATAGATATATATATATGTAGTTATGATATATATATATGTGTGTGATGTGTTGAGTGAGTGTTATGAGTAAGTGTGTAGTGTAGATAGTGATTGTATGTGGATTTGCCTGTGTAGATGTAGTTTTATGAGTAGTTGTATCGGGATATTGAGAGTTGTGTTGTTATATATATATATATATATATATATTATATATATATAACTATATATATATATATAGAATATGCTATGATGTGTGGGTGAGTGTGTGTGTGTGTGTGTGTGTGTGAGTGTGAGTGTGTGTGTGTGTGTGTGTGTGTGAGTGTGTGGGTAGTGTTGAGAGTGTGTTTGTGTTGTGTCCACTTGATCCAAATTTTTTCCTTGCTATCTTTTTATCCCTTTTCTCTGTTTCTGAGACGATAGTGACATTTGGAATGCCTAAAAGCTTTGATATTAGCAACTACCTTGGATAAAAAAACCCAATCTGCATATAAAAGATAAGAGAAAGTATGCCCTTGACCTCTCCTGGCTATATGACCTGGCTTTTTTGTAATCAGTCCGCCGAACACACGAGGACCCAGTTGGCGATTTCCCAGCCTTCTGCACAGCCTTTCCTAAGGACCGAATCACCTTGGCCATAAGTGGAAGAGGGGGTGGGTAAAAGGATAATAAGAGGAGGAAAGGGAAGAGGGATAGGTTAAGGGGATATTAAGAGGGAGAAAAGAGGAGAAAGGGGAGAGGTAGACGACATTAAGTGGAGGGTCTTCATTGTCTTCTATGACCAAACAGGTGAACGGGAAGGGGCGGTGAGGGGCATGTTTCGTGCTGCGTGCGTGCGTGCGTGCGTGCGATGCGTGCGTGCGTGCGTGCCGGCTGTTGTGTGTGTGTGTTGCTGTGTTGTGTGTTGTGTCGTGTGTGTGTGTGTATATATATATATATATATATTATATAATATACATATATATCATATATATATAATTTCTATATATATATATATATATGTACTATTATATGGGTGTGAGTGAATATATGTATATAGGTATAAAGTAGTACTAATAATACAAAGAATATATATACGTATAAATAATGGAATAACATAGAAAAGACGTTACGTGCTTTACTTTATAGTAGCTCTGAATAATTATTAAAGTGAATTATCATAGTTCTCAAGATTAAATATTAAGGTAGATAATATATTATTTATTTATGATAGTACATACATGATTCATGTTATACCTATTTATCTGATAATTTATTATATATATATATAGTTTTTTGTTTAACTCTTCTATCAACTATATAAAAAAGGAATAATATAATAAATTATAGAAAAGTAAATAAACATAACAATTGCTGGGCTAAATATAAATTAATAAATATGCACGTTTACAAAGTAAAAATACTATAATAGTTAATAAGTGAGTTTATTTATACAGTGAATGATCTCATATAGCTCCATTGTATTATTTGGAAAAGTTATTAATTGATAAGCAAGCGGATAACTACTCTACGTAACTTTTTACCCCTACGTTAGCGGATAGTACGACCGTCATATTCGAAATAAATTTTATCTCCTATCACATAACCACACACACACACACACACACACTAATCAATACACACTACACACACACAACACATAACACACAACATACATACATCAACAACACCTAACATCACACACATACACTAACAACACGACACAGCATCAAGATCACAGCACAACTACACAATATACTGGAGTCAGAGAAGATTTTAGATAAGACCTAAAAGCTTATCATTACAGAAGTCACTGAAATTGAGTTGAAATATACCTTATTAATGCATTTACATTATTTAATTTTTACATTTTTTATAAAAGCCTCTAAATTAATATATACTCACACTATCATGGAAAGCTAATTTGATGTGAGATGATTAAGATATTATAAAAGAATATATGCTATAGTGATAGTTTATATAATCATCCTATTTTATAAATAATCAAACATATTCGATCTAAATAATGAAAATATAGTAATAATGACACAGTAATGACATATAACACCTATTTACTAATAATTTTATTTATATACAAAGGTGCATATAAAATCGTCTTTAATTCGACTACATATCCATTAACATCTATCTATAATCTTATTCTACCAAGAACATTATCTCAATAATGCGAATATCTCCTATCTATCTATCTATCTATAACTTATCGTATTGATCTGTACACGTCTAACTCTGTATCTCCATTATCTATCTATCGATACCATTTACTTATATATAGTGAGCAAGCATAACAGAATGTAACACTACTACGTAATGAATGCACTCTATCTATCTCCATCATACTTTGCTTCATCCATCTATGTCTCTTATTATATATATGAGCTATCTTAATAATGAGTGTAAATTAGTTTAATTTATCCTCATAATTTACTTATTATTATATATATGTGTGTTTGGTTGAGTGATGGTGTGTTAGAGCGTATTGTGGTAACGTAATTTAAGATCAATTAGGTAGCTCGTGTTAAACAGTAGAAAAGACAGCCATATTACTTGTTTTTTTCCTTTTGTTAAGAAGTTCACAGGTTGTGGGCAACAACCTGAGGTCGACATACCTAACATAATCCTTGCGTTTTATATCTGTAGACTGCGTCACCCTTTTCTTATATACAACTTTAATTATTCAGCAGATTGTTGTCTTTTGGACGAAGGCGTGCTCAGATCAGCTCACAACTTATTGAGTGTAATAAAAGGCGTTTGAGGAAATAACTGGTATACTAACCCTATAACTGGTATACTAACCCCATAACTGGTATACTAACAGGAAAGACCGCAGTTACTCAGCCTCGCCTTTTAATCTTGGGAAACCTTTGGCTAATTAGGGATTGAAAAGGGAACACACATTATAGGAAAATATACGGTAATTTTTTCTAATAGTTCTGCATAACAGATCATGATGATTTTGGTATCATTGGATTCCTCTCCCTGTCTGGTCTCCAAATATATTGAAATTATTGGGCACAGCTCCTTGCATTAGACAACATACTAACTGATTCCATGTATATATTTACATTTTACCCCACAATATATATTGGTACCTTTCATGCCCTCCCCTGCATATTGGGGCCAAGAATATAGGGGTTGGGGCGCTTCCGCACAATAAAACCTACATATTTACATTATGGATGGTGAGAGGAATCTAACAATATAAAAATCGTTGCAATCCATGCATATTAGAAAAATTACCAAATAGATTTTAACCCGTCACGTAGGGTAATGTCTAATAAGTCCATGACCTCACATATTTATTTCCTAAATTATTGTCTAAACTATAGCTGTAAATGTAGAGAGTGGGATAAATGTATGTTTCTCTTTTAAATATTCCACTTGAGTGGCTGACAGCATATGAAGCCCATCTAGTGGCTCAAGATTACTAGATAACTTGAACAATTTTTGCTAACATTGGTTAATCTTTATGGTATTGACACACTAATGTGCCTTCAGTGTGTCCATACTGTAAAGATTAACCAATGTTAGGAAAGATTGTCACATGAGCGCCATTCAAAGTCACCCTGTAGCCGATATCCCAACTTGCTTGTCACACAGGGTAAACAGAGCCATTCCTTTTCTTCTCAATTTCAGCACAGGCACAGAAACAATCTTGGTGTCATGGGTAGTCTCAAATGGATTCCCATGTAAAAATAACAAATGCTTATGAAAAACATGTTTATAAAATGCAATATTTATTTAAAATCATATTAAGTGCAATATATATGATTTTTTGTGCACCTGAGTATTGTTTTCTTAACAGATTACAGACTCTCTTGCCATGCCTGTTTTGCCAATCTCCAAATGATATATATCGTCCACTTATACTTAGACCAAATAGAAGATTATGCGAACTCAGAAGATAAGGGAAGTGGAAAAGTTACCACCGAATTATTATTGAAAAAATGCTTGTGTGATCACCCTCTTAAGCAAGGGCAAATTGAAGATGATATTCTTATAGAGGACAAAAAGTTGCAGTTGTCAGCACAAGAAATTATCTGTAGACACAAACGGTAATGCCTTAAGTAAAAACAGCAACTCGGCGCTCCTGAGTTTTCACTTTATCTTGCTGTGCATACCAAGGTGAAGACAATGTTTACTTCAGGAGCTGTTATTGAGGCAGGGCACAGAGGACGCAACCACTCATGGCAACTTATATTGACATCGAGTTGGGGACTTTGTCTCCGGCAAGTGTGTCCATATTGTAAAGAATTACCCTAATGTCTATCTATCATAAAGATAATCATATGAAATATAAATGGAATGATTAATACACATGGGGTACAACTGATTAAGAACACCTTTATTTAGATTTTTCACTTGATGCTGATTTACTAAGGATATGTATTGCCATATGCACCTTTTTGTTAAGCTCACAGTGCTGTTTACATTTGAGATATTGTGGTTTGTGAAGTTTGTTTTTTTCTCAAGTGATGCAACTTTTGGATATTAAACTACAGAAAGTGGCATTCCCACAGTTTGCTGAAATCTACAAACAGCAATCTATGAGAACATAACACTCACAAATGGGAGTGTTATAACACCAAATTCCTATAGACATGTCTGAGGGACATGTCTATGTGAATGTTGTCATGACTCATGAGGGTGTGGCTGCACAAGACAAACATATCTCACTACCCATTCAGTCCTGAACAGTTTTGCATATTATGAGTTAATGCCCATTTATCATGCTTCTTTATTGTATCTGCTGACTAATTATTAACTGACTATTTGGCTAGTAATCAGTAGGGTTCTATTGATACCTAATGGATTTTAACCCCAATGATCTGGCTGGTGTGAGCATCATGTCATGAAAAAAATTTAGATTGAGGGGTGTATGACATTTTAGCAGCACGACCCTGCAACCTGCAGTTCAGCAGGACCCCAGCGTGAGATGTGACTGCTTTTGTTCTTTTATCCTTCAGGTCAACAATATGTATTTTTTCGCTGGGTTGAGCACAGATTTGTTCATTATATGATGATGGTATGTCCTCAAGTTTTTTAAGCAGAATATCCTAAGGGAAGGTTTGTTGGCTTATGCCAGAGCATGGCCTCTTTAGTGACTGCAGGTCCTCTTCACTTAGAAGGATTAATTTATATATTCAGTCTCTGTATAAGCCATTGCTGTTTATTTTTCTGTATCTTTGTAAGGGTTCTAGGTAATTACCCATTCTTTTATATTGAATATTATTCATCCACGGTTCTACAGAGTACAGAATCTCCATTAAGTTTCCAAAATCAAAGTCTTTTTGTATGTTTGATATAAGATTCCTGTTATGTGAAGTGAAAAATGTAGACTTTATCAGCTAATCCCTAAATTACATGATTTACTTTTTGCACTGATGTTACAGGACTTTTTAAGACATACCCAAAGCACCCAAATCTACGATACTATGAAGTTATTGACTCATCAGCTTTCAACCACCACATCGTTAAGAGAGGGATTAAAGAGAGTAATCATCGATTCAATAAAATCAAGGAAGTTCAGTTCAGTGCATTAGGAAGGTAAGATCAAGCTGATATGATAAATTTATAAAAGTATGAGTTATGGATGTGGTATGATAACTTATTTTTTTTAATACCGTATATTTTTATAATGATTATCTATCATGCAGATATGCTGTGGGCACTTCCCTGTGTAACAACAGTGCTTTAATTTACAAATCACCATTTTACTTTTCAGGGATTTCCGTTTGATTCTCAACCCAAGGAAAGGACTCCTTCATTCACAATTCAAAGCTTATGCTATAGATGGGAAGGGCAATGAAAAGATCATTCATGTGGGTGAGTTGAGCCATATGTTGCTTTTATTCCAGTTGGTTTGTTTATGTACATTACATGATTTTTTGATACGTGTTATTTACAAATATCCGAGCTTTGTAGAGGTTTGAATACCTATATAAAGGCACATACTCTGAGAACTAGGTCTTTGTCTCTATAGAAGGATTATAATTGAAAATAGAATTGTTAATAGGAATACACTATTGATTTAACCACATGTCGCTGGGAAAATGTAGTGTTCACTATAGTATTGCTTTGTAAGATGTCAGTTAGTAGACCTTAAGACCTCACCTGATATCACCTTTCCATGAGTTTGTAGGAATTATAAATTTTTTCACAAATTCTATCAATATTGATGATATTATTATTGATATTACGAACAGCAATAGGATAACAGAAAATATTTCCAATAATCAAGGAAAAAGGTAAATAGATGAGATACTTAATACTTGTAATTGGCTCTTTCGTAACTTAGTACTTGTGAAGCCATCTGTGTGTAAAGACAATGAACAAATTAAACCCAATTGGGTATGGCATGTATGCACGTGCCATCCCTAGCAGCATTGGATTAACATATGACTAATATCATATCCTGTTCCTTTGGAGCATTTTAAAGGAAACTAATTTACGAATGCCTCCAACAGACCATGAAAATTTTTATGAAGGTCGTGTGTTTGGGGAGAAGACATCAGACGTGTCAGCCCATTTGGAAGATGGGGTTATGACAGCAACCATAAACACTCCTGATGACACATATCATATAGAGGTATAGATCTAAAGAAATTGGCATTCCTTCTTTCATTTGAATACTGTTTAAGCTGAAACGTGCTGCTGTTGTGCAGTTATCTAATTGGAATTGGGATCCAAAAATGTCTTCTCTCTCTCTCCTGGTCTCTCTCTCTCTCTCGGATCTCTCTCTCTCTCTCTCTCTCTCTCTCTCTCTGCCTCTCTCTCTCTCTCTTCTCTCTCTCTCTCTCTCTCTCTCTCTCTCTCTCTCTCTCTCTCTCTCTCTCTCTCTCTCTCTCTCTCTCTCTCTCTCTCTTCTCTCTCTCTCTCTCTCTCTCTCTCCTCTCTCTCTCTCTCTCTCTCTCTCTCTCTCTCTCTCTCTCTCTCTCTCTCTCTCTCTCTCTCTCTCTCTCTCTCTCTCTCTCTCTCTCTCTCTCTCTCTCTTTTGTGAGAAATGCAATTTTTTGGAATATTTGCAATTTTTTCATCAGTATAAATTCTGAAACTTTTTTTATGAAGTCCAGATTTGTGTGATATATTTTTTAGCCTCATAGTGTACAGTTATCTTTTGTGTAATGTAGTTACTGTTATTTAGCTAATTGATGGCAAGAGAGGTGAAAATGGAAAACAGATAAGATTGTTTGAACATTGTTTTTTGAACATTAGAAATACAGGAAATACAGCTTAAACTTTTTCTTTCTTTCTTTCTTTCCTCTTATTCAGCCATCATGGAGACACTTACCAGATTCCAGAGAAGACTCAATGATTGTGTACAGGGGATCGGATGTGAAGTACAGCTGGGAAGACAACCATCCAAGCCTCAAAGGACACAAACTGTGTGATTATGTTAAAGAAGGAAATGAAACAGGTGCATCTTGCTGTCATTAATTGTCCAAAATATTTTGTAATTAATGTAATGTTTTCATAATTCAATTTAGTTTTTAGTTCTCCAAGCTGGGGTGTACATCCTTCACTCTACTGCTTTTCTTATTTCGGATGTGTTTTCTTCTTTGACACAGGTGTGTTTCTTGTTCCACAGAAACAGATGATGAAGGTGAAGAATGGATAGAAGGTTACGAGCCTCCAGACGGAATCATCCCAGAGAATTTGCCTGAAGACCATGGCCCTAAAAGAAGAGTCAAGAGACAGCAGGCAGAACCATACAATTTCAATGGGGACAAGACACGTTGTCCGCTGTTACTAGTGGCTGATTACCGCTTCTTCAGGGAAATGGGTGGCTCAAACTACAAGACCACAGTAAACTATCTGGTGAGTTTAAAAAATAATGTATTTCACACATACTCTTCAAATCTTCCTGTACCATCTACAAACTATCCCCAACCAAAGTTTCACTTCATTGTATAAAGTGTGAATGTCTAGGGTGGTTTAAAGGGACTAGATTGTCTGCACCAAAAAGAGGTGTCATGATTTTGGATCTGTGTGCTTGCAGAGTAAAGGTGATTTTACTTAATTTTTTGCATCAAATTAATTTCCTTTGTTTATTATGGATTTAGATGTTTTTGTACATATGGTAGCAACAAACTGTTGAGCCACTGACATTGTGAATTTGGTGTCTCAGAGATTGGATAGGAAAATATTAATGTTGTTAATTATCTGGGAAAGGTATAATGGTCATATTACTTTAGAGAGAGAGCTCTTATACCTTTCTTTAGGCAAATGAACATTGCACAGGGAATTACTAGGCCCAGGATGCCCCTAGCGTTAGCCACTCATTGGGCTCTTGATTAAGTAAGTAAACTAAAGGGATAGCTTAACTTTTGTCTGAATTCCTAATCGACTTAGCAGATATGAAATTGCAACAAGGAAGATGAATGTTTTGTAAGCAATTGTCAATTTTCAGAGCAACTCTAAATATTTTGACAATTTTATCTCTCTTCTTAGAGATGTTCAGTATGTAAGGGACAAAAGAAAAAAAGAAATCAATGAAAAACTTGCTGAAATACTGAAAATGTTGTAATTAACTGTTTCCAGATTAACCTTATTGATCGTGTGGACAAGATTTATGAAAACACAGTGTGGCGAGATGGTGTGGACACAGCTGATTTCTCTGGCATGGGTTTCGTCATCAAGAAAATTTTAGTGCACCAGGAATGGTCTCCTGTTGGTTCCAACCAAGTACACTACAACATGGAACGCAGCTCCTGGGATGTGCGTAACCTCTTAGAGGTAAGTGACACAAAGGGAACAGATGATCTGGGAAGAGCTTCACCTAGAAAACAAAGAGGCTTATAGATGAATTCAGTCTATTAACTCCATTTCCTTGGGATATTTTCCATTTAGCACAAAAAAAAACTAAATTTTCTTTGGTCGAAGAATATAGATGCTTTAATATATGCTCCTAAATGTTTGTACATTCTGTAATATTTGGAAGTTGGTATTAAAATGCATGTGGATTTACATTAGTTTCTTCATTGTCATTAACAGGGAGATTAGTTTCTGAGTATATATTCTAATATTGATTTACTAATCCTCCTTTCAATATAAAAGCAAAAGATATCAGCAGTAAGAGATGTTTAGAAATAGAGTGTTCACTGTGGTATTTTTTGTGAAATGTCTGCATAGAGATGGCTCTACAAGTGCCCAGCCAACAAAGATTCAATTAGTAGACCTCATATCTTCACTTAATTTCAACTTTCCTTGAGTTTTTGAGATTTTTAAAAATACTATTGATATTATTGTGAAGCCATCTGTGTATAAAGACAGTTAATATACTAAACTCACAGTTAATACTACTTATAAACCCTGGAGGGGTGACATGAACGACTTTTTACCAAAGGAATTGGTCATGGGGGAGGTGACGGGAACATCATGCCATGGGAAAAAGAATTGGCCAAGGGAAAGGCGGAATGAACATGTTGTCACGGGAAATAATTTGCCCAAGGGACAGGTGATGTGAATTTCTGATGATGATGGAAATATTAGTCATGAGGGTTGAAGTGACTTGGTGGGGTAATTGAGATTGAGGCAGCAGGCCTTCAGAGAAAGGCACACACATGAAACACACACACACACCCATACCACACAGCACACCACACACACTCACACACATACCACACCACACACACACGCACCACACGACACACACCACCCACACACAACACACGTCATCACACACATCACACACACTACAACATCACACCAACACACACACGCACACACACACACACACACACCACACCATAACAACACGACACACACACATACCACTAACCACCACACACACCACACCACACCATACACACACACACACACTACACACTACACGCACACACACGCACACAACACACACACACACACACACATCACACACACACACACACACACACACACACACACACACACACACACACACACACACACACATCCACACACACACAACACACACACACACACACACACAACACACACACACACACACACACACACACACATACCCCACACAACCACACACAACACATACCACACACACACACACACATACACACACACACACACACCACACACACACACCACACACACCACACACACACACACCACACACACACACACAACCCACACACACACACCCACACACACACACACACACACACACACATACACACACACACACACACACACACACACACAGCACACACCACACACACACACACACACACACACACACACCACTGACATACCCACACCACATACCATCACACCACACCACCACAACACACCATCACACACACATACAAATAGTAATGGCGGAGAAGTTAGAACGCAACAATACTGGCGAGTGGAACTATGCACGCCGTCCCGAGAGAGAGAAACGACAGGACCACCGTCTCCACATGACGTGGGTGAAGACCGTACACTAGGCGTCAGATCGTCCGCCAGAATCTACGCAATGGGCGAGAGAGTGCCATTGCACTCAGGCGTGCTTACCAGGGTCTCATAGACGCACGTCACTAGACAGCACTTATAGCGTAGCTATCAAGAAAGGAGTATAGCTGAGACTCAGGACAAAGCTCGACACTTCAACTCGATGACACCACAGCACCAACACATGGCATCTACTTAGACATCACGACACAACTGACCACGCATCCCAACAGCTGATCTATTCCGTCTGACTACATCTGTTCGCTACAAGCACCACGACACCTCTCGCCGACACGAATACTCACGCTCTCCTTATACGACCTAATGCCCGCCAGCTAGCCTGGACCTCCTCTGAGCGTCCTGCCCCACTACGAAGCGAATAACAGTAAGCTGGTGTCTCACCGTCTATCTGAACTCGCGCTACACGGCTCACTGCACAGCCGCTCAATCTATCGCGAGACCATCAGCTATGTGAGTATGTCCAGCCACCGGTAACACATTGTCAGGAGTCGCGATGAGCATCCGTCGCAACGGCAGTGTGCGCCAAATGTTCTCGAGCGACGTATCCGGCCCAGACTCACGCAGCAGATACTCAACCACACCTCCCAACGCATCCAGACTAACAGCCACCTGACTTCTCATCTCTAGTCCCTACGTTGTGCCATATGACACTCGTTCACACTGAGACGCCTCGTTCACAGAGCCCCTTACATTAGCGATCTAGCATTCATCACTCTCTTACAGCTCCACTCATCCTCTCCACTTACACTCCTATATATACGCACCCTAGTACTTACTCCCACCAATCACACAGCTCTGACGACCCGAACAGCTACTCTCCTATCCAACACGCTCTATACGCAATCGTGTAAGATAACGACCCAGCTTTCACTCACGTAATTCTCCAGCTCATAAATGACACATCTCTTGACACAGACTCGCCCAAATAACCGCTCACAGCCTGTCCTACTTATCCGCTCTTAGCTATCGACCCGATTGCCATACCACACACCCACACACAGATCACACACACCCACACACGCGATACCCAACACCACTCCACACCACCACCACCTCCCGACACTCACACATACACACACATACCACACCGACACACACACATACCACACACTCACACCACCACTAGACACCGACACACAACAGCCACCATAACACACCCTATCTCCCCACCCATTACATCCACACACCAATCCCACCTACATCCAAACCTACTCAACAAGCACATAACCACACACACACATCACACATACCACCATGCAACATACAGCACATACCACACACAGCCACACTTACCACGTACCACACACACACATCACATGAGCGACACTATACCACACACACACACATACAACACACACACACACACACACACACACTACACACATACCACACAACACACACACATACACACACACACAACATCACCACATCACACACCACATACACACACACACACACACATACACACACATACACACACACACACACACACACACACACATACACCACACACACCACACACATACACACACTACACAACAACACACAGCATACCACACCACACACACACACCACACACCCACACACACCACACACAACACAACACACCACACACACACACACAAGACCACACACACACACACACACAC